CTGTATGTTCTCACTCATAAGTGGGCACAAAACATTGGGCATGTAGGAATAAAGATGGGAACAACAGATGCTGGGCACTGCTAAAGGAGAGAGGGCAGGGGAATAAAAGATACACAAACACTCATTTGGTACCATGTCCACTACTGGGCAGGGAGAGGGCTTACTGGAAGCCCAAACCTTGCCTCCATGCAATTTTTTCATATAGCAAATCCTCACAAATACCCCACAACTCTAAAATAATTTTTTTTAAATAGTCAAATTTAGACTAGCTAAAACTGCTGTGACTAGTGGTACTAGTGCAGAATATCCTGGTAACATGGGCCAATGTGAATTACAAGGATAGGTTCTTATCCACATGCTTATACAACAGGTTATATTTGTCAACATATTATTATTCTTGTGATTATATATGATGTCTGAAGACATGGTGTGTGATTGTTTTATGTGCATGCCCCCACTCAGTTCCCCTTTTTAAAGAATGTATATGGGTTGTTATTAATATCTTCTGATTTTGCCTGTTGCTATGGCCTTTACCAGGAAGTTTTATTTTATTTTATTTTATTTTATTATTTATTTATTTATTTATTTATTTTTGAGTTGGAGTCTCACTCAGTCACCCAGACTGGAATGCAGTGGCCACTCCCGGCCACCACACCCTCGACCTGCTGGGCTCCTACGATTCTTCCGCCTCAGTCTTCCAAGTACCTGGAACTACAGGCACGTGCCAATTTTTTTATTTATTGTAGAGATGAGGTCTCGCCAAGTTGCCCAGGCAGGTCTCAAACCCGTGGGCTCAGACAATTCACTCACCTCGGCCTCCCAAAGCGCGGGATTACAGGCTGAATCACCGAGCCTGGCCTTCTTTTTTTTTTAAAGATAAGAAAATGTAGTTTATTTAGAAAGTGAATTGGATCGGGAGACAGAGAGAGAGAGAGAGAGAGAGAGAGAGAGAGAGAGAAAGAGGAGATTCACCTCCCCAAGGTAGGGAAGGGGGCCAAAGCTTAAGAAAACATGGCCACTCCATAGCTTAGCAAGGCAATGGCGGTGATGATCTAGCAATGGCCACCAGGAAGTTCTTACGACAAAACTACCTCAAGTGGTGAGCAGGGAGGACAGATGTGATAGGTGTTGATCTCGCATAATGAAATAATGACATTTATATCCTTCCTGAATAATAGGTGACTGATATCACACTCTTTAAGTATGGAAAAGAAGGTTCAAGACATCATGATATTGCTGAAGCAGAATAGCTGGGCTATGAAGACAACAACAATGATTGATTTCAGTTTTAAAAATGATGATCCTTTGCTAAATCCAAGGGACATTTACTAAGATACTAACATAGATAAAAAAATAAACTGTAATATCGATAAATTGGCATAGAATGGATCAAGTGAAACTTTGAAGAGAAATTTGGAAACAGGTGCCAAGCAGACGAGGTAATTGAATCAAAAACAGCTGCATACCAATATGACACGAGACTCTTCTATGTAACTGGAAATTAATCTATAGGCTGCACTAGATTACTACCTGAAGATGATACAACCTTCATCACTGAACATTCAACATTCATGTCGTGATGGACACAGTACTTCAAAACAATACACAATCAGACATCCAGTCTGCTCTTCTTATTTTCATAACATTCTCTCATTATGAGGTGAGTATATGACATTGTATCTATCGTACCTATTAAGAAGGCAAAGAATCATCATTGGTAGAGTAGCTAATGCTAATAAAACCCTTATAAAACACACACACACACACACACACACACACACACACACACACACAAAAGCAGCAGCCCCTAACTCATCAAATGATTGCTTCAGTTATTTAACCACTCATGGAAGAAGAAATAGTACATAGATAAATTTCGGTGGTGTTTCTAGTATAAAAACACAAGAGGGGTAGCAAATGCTGCAGTAACCACTGAGGTATGTTATTTGTGTATTATAGATGTGATAGTAGTACAATCCACACAGGTCAATTACCCTCAAGTTAATATAGCTTTCATGCATATCATGGATAAAAAATAATATAAAAGAGATCCACAAAGATTTTGTGCAGACAAGGAACTCTGATGAATGTGCTACCTAAATGGCAATTTAAATAATTGTCTAAAAGGCTTTGTATATTTAAAATATTGAAGTTTTTGTTAAAATTTGAGGATGTAAAGATTATATAAATCATCTCTATCCTGTGTGACTGGTCATCAAGATATTAACAAAATGCAAAAATTATTTTAAAAACGGTGGGCAAAGTGAGTAGACATCTTGCTTAAATCATTAAGTGGTTCATTAATATTCATTGTTCATTATCTATTTTGACTCTGAATTAAACATTTTTCAAGCTTTAAAGTGGTAGTACAGTATGTATTTTGTAAACAATTATCTTCCATATCACTTGTCATCAAAATGTTTAGTTTACGGTATTCTTTTGTCTTTAAATGGGAACCCTGACCTACAGTATATCAATGAGTAGGAAAATCACACATCTCTTTACACATTCTAAGATGCATTAAAATAATTTACAACATCTGCAAGAAATTCTGTATCACAGAGTAAACCATAAAAACAGTGATACTTAGCTTGAAGAACAACTGAATTTGGGCATGTGTATTTGGAACATAAGTTTATATTTTAAATAATAAACCCTAACTAAACAGAACCTTTTTGAAGAACTCCTACAACAAATACTTAGTTAATACAAAGAAGATAGCCTTCATTTGATTCACTTTAATAGTGATACACGGTTTTTCACTTGTATTATCTCACTGGATCTCCACAGTAATCGTGGAAATTCGGTAGAAGAGAGGACATTACCCATCTGTTAGAGATGAAGTAACTCAAGATTTGTGAGATCTGCCTGGGGTCAGATACAGTAGTGAGGCTGAGACTGTACCCCAGATCTCCTGAAGCAACATATGCAAAGTGCCTAGTGCTGCCCCTGTTCCTCTGTATGGACTGGATGAAAGATACCTCCTTTTCCCCCTGACTAGCTCAGCACTCTTTTCCACTCCAAGGCACTGCCCAGTCTGATAGCAATAGATTTAATTAATACACAAACTAATTTTAGAGGAAACTTAAATGATACAAAAATAAAGAAAATACAATAAGCCATTTAGTCATAATATCTGCTGTAAATAAAAGGATTTCAGAGATTTTCTGTGGTAGAAATTATTTGTATTTTTGCAATAACAAGTTTCCATTTTTGAATTGGAATGCTTTAGTAACCCATAAGAAGTAAAAGTAACTTCTGGCTAGGCTCGGTGGCTCAACCTGTAATCCCAGCACTTTGGGAGGCTGAGGCGAGTGGATTGCCTGAGCCCACGGGTTCAAGACCCACCCAGGCAACTTGGTGAGACCTCGTCTCCATAATAAATCAAAAATTAGCCGGGCTTGGTAGCACGCGCCTGTAGTTCCAGCTACTCGGAAGGCTGAGGTGGAAGGATCGCCGGAGCCCAGCAGGTTGAGGCTGCGGTGGTTGAGAGCATGTCACGGCACTCCAGTCTGGGTGACAGAGTGAGACTCCAACTCCAAAAAAAAAAAAAAAGTAACTCCTTAGGTGGTACAGGTTGAGCATCCTTAGTCAAAAAATCTAATACCCAAAATACTACCAAATTCAAGACTGTTGGAATACTGGCATGATGTCACATGGGTGATTGAAACAGTGACACCTTTGTTTTCTGATGGTTCAACGTACGTAGTTTTGCTTCATGCACAAAATTATTTAAAATATTGTATAAAATTACCTCAGGCTATGTGTCAAAGATATATATACGAAATATAAATGAATTTAATGTTCACTCTGGGATCCTATCCCAAGCTATCTCATTATGTATATGTAAATATTCCAAAATTCAAAATCCGAAGCAGTTTTGGTACCAAGAATTTCAGATAAGGAATAGTCAACCTGTATATCACTAGAGAAAATGTTTTCTGAGCAAACTATCACGTGAAGGTGCACATCTCTGTCAGCCAATACAGCCATAAATAAAAATGTTAATGAGGTAAAATTAGTCATGATGAGGACAAAACAATATCAAGAAATTGAAAAGTTCTTGTTAAGCTTAATTCATTTTGACATATTTTGAAAAAAAAAAACCCAACAGCATCGTAGCAAATCTTATTAATTAAACCAGAAATCCATTACCATTTTTTGCTTCTGTGTTTTAATTTGTACATCTTTATTCTTAACTTAAGGATAACTATAAATAAAACATGAAAATCAGTGCATTTTCTTGCTCTGCAATAATATGTGTCCTAATCTACATAATACCTCATCTGCCCTCATATTTTGTTTATACTCTAGTACATAACATTAGGGTTTGATGACCTGGGCAATAGGACTTTCCTTACAAAATATATTCATAAATCTGTAATTGGTCAATCAGCTGTTCAGGGAGAAAATTAATGAACCTAGTTTTTTAGCAATATGTTTAAGTTAAAGATTCAAAACATACTTTGAGAAATTTCAAACTGCCAACATTTCCCCCCTGGATGGTCAGATTTTCACCTTATACTCCCTCAGTTTGACTTTACTTATCCTCTGAAAGCTGATTGGTCCTTGCCAAGTACATTTTGAAAGTATGGATAATAAGCTATAATTCAGTAAAGAGCTTCTCTAGGTTATATAAGAATTATGATCACTGTATTTAAAATCTGAATCATATGCAAAAAAGTAAACTATAGCAAGGCTGAAATCCCTCACTTCTACAAAAACTTAAATTTTTATTCTTTATGCGTATCCATTTTGATAAGTGGGTGTTGGTGGAGTAAGCTTTAGACTTGGCTTAGTTCTACAAATACAAAATCTTAAGACATTTTGTCTTCAAGACGTTCTGTCTTTAAAACTCTCTATCTTTAAGACATTCTGTCTTAAAAAACAAAATGTACCACTTCCATGCTATTTTTAATTCTACTCGTTTCATGGCACATTATTTCAAAAAAACATAGAAATTAACACATTTAAATTATGTGCATTCAGATGGGACTCACCTTTAGAGAATCAAAACAGGCCACCACACGACCATTTTCCACATGGCAAAATCTTGGTGGATGGGCAAACTTGCAATCTGCATCAGCTCGAGAGCAAGTTCCTCTCTGAAATTCTCTACAGACTTCTAAAGTCAGCCACTTGGTATCACGAATCAGGGCAACATTGACAGCCGTCATATTGAAAGTAAAATTATAATCAAGCTCACTCTCTTTAGGACAATATTACTGCAGATTGTTAAAGGATTAAAAATGAATTCAAGCTAAATGTGAAGAGATAACAGGTTGCTTTGGTGAATTGTCTATTTGCTAGCACTTAGGTTTTCATTTAAGTCAAATCCGATCCAAGCAAAAAGCCAATCATAAAATAAAAATTGTATCAGAATAGCTAAAAATCAAATTAGAGACCAACTCCTAAGAAGGCAACTCTAAAGGGTAAGATGTTGGACGTTTTATTTTGTTCCTTTGCTGAATTTACTTCAAATACTGGCAGACTTTCAAAAGAATTCTGTGCTCTCCAGTTGATGTTTTCAATTATTCTTGCAAAAAGCATATGCTGCTGGCAGCCCTTCAATTTGTGGAATGGTCTCAGATCAGGGGGAAAAAAGTTTTTCTCCCTATTTATTAGCTTTAAAGAGTAAGATTGGGAAGGATGTTAAAACCTAAAAAAAGTTTTTGTTGCAAAATCAAGGGGAGGGAAAATGACTAAGAACACTGAGAATCACAGAAAAAAGAAATGGACAAGTTGCTGACAGTAAACTACAAGCACACCAGGTTGTGTGGGGGAGGAGGCGAGGAGAGGGCAGGGAAGGGTGTGGTGGGGAAAGGGGTTTATAAAGAGACAGTTCTAGAGTAGAATCCAAGCAGCAGAGTTTTCAGAAAAGGCACTTTTCAGAACCTGCAAGAAAAAAATAAATAAAATTAGCTAAAATAATACAATGCTTCCGTTTCAAACTCTAGATTTGGAAAGAAGTAACCATATCCTATTTAAAACAGGAAGCATCTAGATACTGACAGTGCAACATAGTACAGTCAGCTATTGTCAATGAAAAGGGCATTTCCCAGCATAAAACTGTGTATGTATAGTAAAAGGAAGCAACTGCTTCGATTTGCTGTTGTAGTACAAGACTGGGTAACAACCTCATATGGTTGGGAATGAACATGTAAAATGTGCTTCTGAGACTTAAAAATTTTCATTTAAAAAGATACTGGATTTTTTTCTGTGTGGGCTCTCATAGTCTCTATGAAGAGAAATTAGAACAACTCAGAAGGATGTTTCAGCATATACAAATCACCGTTTGTGAATGTGAACCACTGTTCAGTAATATATTAAATATTGTGCAGCTTTAAGATTTGCAGTTTAACTTAGTGTTGACCAGCAACAATTTTGAGCAACTCAGCTGAGAAGATACATGAAAGGTTAATTTACTGGCATTAAGTCATGAACACATACTGAAATAACACTAAAGCAAAAGTGAGCTCAGAGTATTACAAAAATCAACTAATTGTTAACTTCATAAAAAATTAAAATTCTTTAAAATATTTCATTTAATTTTTGGATAATATTTTCAATAATTTCATAGAATCTGAATTTTCTGTTTGTCTTTTTCATACTCCAGATGAAATATACTATCACTTGATTTTTCAAATATTGAGAAATTAAGATACTAGAAAATTCAAGCAAGCTTATCTATTCAAGAGCAAAACATGTTTTTCTCTGAATCATTCTTCATGGAAAATTTTCTAGAACATATTATATAAAAATGAATACATAAATAAATAGAATGTATTATATGCAGCTTTGCCTTCTTAAAAAATATTGAACATAATTTGGCCTCTAGTTAAAGACTTGGGGTCATTAATATATTGGGAAGTGTTATAGTTGTACTCTTTCAGTGGCACTGTTAATTGTCACATCCACGGTCATTTATCTTACTGCCACAATATCTTCCATAGCGCATTTGCCAGTTCTCCTTTGAAAAACCTAATAGCCAATCATGAATGTTGAATAAGAGTTAATTACCCACTGAAGGAGGGGCCTAAGGGACAAGATGCAGGGCTCTCCTGTAGAAATTCTATGACTGCTCTTACTGCTTTGGGGGCCCTTTGCATCAAATTACATGAAGGACTATGTTCTAGAGGGTTAAGTTTGCAGGCAAATGATCTCTAGAAAAATATTATTTAAAAAAATAACCTGACAGTGGAAATGAAAATCAAAACCACAATGGGATAAGCACTTAACACCCACTAGGATAACTATAACAAAAAAGACAGAAATTGGAGCCCTCATACATTGTGGGTGGGAATGTAAAATAGTGCAGTTGCTGTGGCAAACAGTCTGACAGGTCTTCAAAATGTTAAACAGAGTTACCATATGACCTAACACTTCCACACCTCGGTATATACCCCAAATAATTGAAAACAGGAGTTAAAACTTCTTGTATAGGAACGTTGACTGCAGCATTATTCACAATAGCCAAAAAGTGGAAACAACTCAAGGGTCATCAACAGATGAATGGATAAGCAAAATGTGATATATCCACACAACGGAATGCTGTTTGGCCATAAATAAGAATGAAGTAGTGATACATGCTACCATCATGGATGAACTTTGAAAACATTGTGTTAAGCAAAAGAATCCAGTCGCAAAAGGCCACATATCTTATGATTGCATTTATATGAAAAGCGCAGAGTAGCCAAATCCACAGAAATGGAATGTAGATTAGTGATTGCCAAGGGTTAGGAGGAGGGGAGAAAGTGGAATGACTGCTTAATGGTTATGGGGTCTCCTTTGGGGATAATAAAAACGTTCCGGAATTAGATAGTGGTGACGGTTGCACAATTTTAAAAAATATGCTATAACCCATTCACTGAATCATATACTTTAAATGGATGAATTAGATAGTACATGAATTACTTCTTAATAAAACTGTCTTTTTTTTTTTAGTCTTAAGAGACACGACAACCAAAGAAAAGCGTGATGAATGATGGGATTAGCTATCTCAAGATTTCTGAGGTTCTCCTTAGACACAGACTTTTCTCAGTAGTGTTACTTAGTTAACTATCAAGAGTAAATTAGTTCTATACTGTAACTGACAATGTATTATGAAAAGTACTCTGAAAGTATGTTTATATTCAAAGACATATTCCAACTTAATCCTACAACTAAATTATACAGGCTGCCTGAACATATTTGAAAGAAAAAAGAAAAATAACAAAAGAAAAGGAGTGTGTGTGTGTGTGTGTGTGTGTGTGTGAGAGAGAGAGAGAGAGAGAGAGAGAGAGAGTTTCTCAAAACATAAACAGTGAGAGTCTGGAGAAAATTTTTCTTACAAAGGTCTGTCAAGTATAGAAACAGATAATAAATAAGAAATTTGACTTTTAAACTTTTACAAATGAAAAATGCAAACAGGAATTGGCCTCTGGTCTTTTTATGTGAGATTATAGATGGGAGAAGAAGGAATTTTCTTTTTCTTTCTTTTTTTTTTTTGGCCTGTAACCTCTGATGGGACCATGGCCAATTCCTCAAAGCTGTTCTAGCCAGCACGTATCTTCCTTCAAACTGAAACTATTTGGGGAGCTGGTTCAGAAGAATCTAGGTGGAACAACTCAATGGGGCTAGCACAAGGATAGGAAGAAGTTCTCTCATGCAGCTCTGCTTGTCAGGAGAGATGACAGTCTTCCCTGTATTAACTTTGAAGATTAACTTTGTTTGGGACATAATACAGCTTTATCTTTAGTACCTTAGACTTGTGTAATAGGAATACATTTTTGCTTCTTATGATTTATAGTCCCCTAAATTAGACCAGGAAAAGTCACCACTTCTTAGTGCATTTGTACTTTATTGTACTTGCAGTATACAAGTACTTATATTTCGTTGATCTTTGGGTCTCTCAATAATGCACCAAAGCATGAGTGAAACCCTGAAAATGTAGATGACTGAAAGAGCTTATAAAGGTTAAATTACTTATTTGAAGTTACAAAGCCTGAAGTGGTAGAACCATAACTCCAGGCAAGATTGTCTGATTCCAAATTTCATGCATAGATCTGGCAGAGATATGTCATAGAGATCACTTCTTATCTCCCTCTGCAATCGTAAACAAGGAAAATCAGTCGTTTTTCTGAAGTACTTATGGTTCCTTTTCAAAATTACATTCATGCCTGATGTTTCACTATTTTCATAATCTCCCTGAGTTGTGCTGGGCCAACATTTATCTAGCATCTACTATGTGCCAGGCACTGTTCAAGATGCTGAACAAGATTGATAAGGTTTCTGCTCTTGTGGAACTTCCTGTACACATTTAAATAGAGAAGTAACCTAGGGGCACAGAGAAGTGAAATGATTATTAGAGCTTCTGAAAAACTGGAAGCAGACACTATACATTCTGACTTCAACACAAATCTTTAATTCATTATGAATGATACACCAAGCTCCATGACTTAAAAATACTCTTAAACACGCACTCAAACACTACTGCATAGAAGTTAGTCATTCAGAGATATACCTTGAAATTACTCCTACTAAGTCTGTTGCTCTCTAGATTCCTCTTGGAGAGAGTACTACTGTTCTCACCTTACAGACGGGGAAACGGAGGTGGAGAAATTGTAGGTAATTTAACTTGCACAACTTTATGAAGCTAGTAGGAGATGAAGCCATAGTTCAAACTCACAGAGTCTGACTTCAGAGCCCCTGCCCTCTTAACCATGCCACAATACTGTGTTACTCTTACGGTATGTATCACATTCTTCCTCATTCTAGCTGACTGGGCCCTTTACTTTTCTCCTTTTTTCGACTGTAAACTCCGGGAGAGTAGAAGTAATGTCTTACTCAGTTTTCCTGGCTCTATCTTGTCATTGGAAGATAGAATGCTATGGCATTTCCCAGAATTTTTATTTTGAAAGCTAGAAAGATTAACTGGTAACTTAGCATTAACCCTTCTGTTGTATAATGCTAGAAAGGAGTTTTGTCAGTTGAGCACTTTATAGGCTGGCTGAGTTTTGGTCATCTCTGTCAGTTTTAAAGCAATTGGACTTGTAAAGTTGAGTATTTTCTCACCATTCTAGCCTTCAAATTGGAATGAAAAGACCTAGGATTCTTGATACATAGCATTCACTCTCCATAAATAATTATCTATTCCTGCTGATTTGATAGCAGCAAGATCTTATAAAAATATGGGATACTCAAATGATTTATGTTTATATCTTTGGATAGTTAATTTTTGCCCAACTATGGGTGTAACGAAACTGAACTGGTGCTAG